ATAACTTTGTATGGAAAATGAAACCCAAACTTGTCCCCATCGAGAGCCAGTTTTACGTAAACTTTTATATCCTTTATTGCTAATTTTCAAGCCGCTCACAACTATGGCAGAATAAGTTTGCAGCTCAAAAAGAGAATCAGATGCGGGTAGATGGTAGTGTCTGATCTTGCGTGAGAAACGGCCATCTGCCCATAACTATTTTTGGTTTGGTTTTATTCATCTTGGTGCTCAAGTGAGCATATGTCTAGTTCCATTCATAAGCAAGTCCTACTATAGAGTTGGGTTAGTCTATGTAGTGATTTCCCACATATTTGAAACTGTGACAAATTGGATTATGCAATTTGTCACGCAATAAACGTAGTGGACGTTGCTTTGTTCGCTGAGCAGGGCAATTTGCTTGCAAAGCGTTTCTTCACCAGCTGAGTTGGCATCTCCTTAAAGCATACGTTTCGAGATTACAAGTGCGTGTTTGTTTCTCGCACATGGAATGCTATAAGGCTACTTATCCATGTTGCCTTTGACCTCTTGTTGCCTACATTGTCACTAGGATCATTGCATGAGAGGCAAAGCCGTTATTGGCACATACGCAATTGTATTGATTCCTCATAAGTTCCAAATACAGGAAACACGTAACCTCAGGAAAACCACCCTTATCACCTTTTTTCGATAATGAACAGTCGCCTGTAAAACTCAAACGTCTATTTAAAAATATAATGATGTTTCTGAAATGATTCAGCTGTTTGTGGTGTGATCTTTTGTTTCCAAACGTAAAAATATACTGCTCTTCCAAGAGAACATCAGTATCAAATCTTTTTGCGCTATAAGCTACTCAGTAGTAACGAGTCAAACGTCTGTAGAAAGCCGCCCGCCGGTTCAGTATGAATAGATCACGCATAACCCATTTAACTGTCTTCTTCATACGGTGAACTAGTATCATTAATATTGTCTTTAGGTTAGAAGTGTTTGTGGGATCGGTTCAAAATAAGTGTCCATAGAGATCAACAGAACTGATCAATGTCAACCGACCACAACATCAAATAGTGCGAAACCACTGGCCCGATATCGGTTGATTCATACCTATTGGAAGGACACCACTCAGTGCCGAAATCTCCGTCTCTCACTCAATGGCACCGGAACTATTTTTTTACTTCCTCTTTCTATTAAGAGACTCCCAAACAAAATACTCACTTGTGGTCATTTCCAAATAGAACAAGTGCGCTTCATGGCAGACCTCCTAAAAAACACTCTCCAGGCGAAGATTACTGTGACTCAATTTTTGCAGTGCTATTTTGCGTTCCAGCGAAATTTACCACTACTTAAACTGGAAAACACATCTCCCCCTGGAAATTCGATGGCAATATGAGTTTGAAATTTCGTTGAAACTTTAGTCGTTGTAGTAAACTTTAACCATGTTATGAGGTTCAGAACTTTCAACTGGCTTTTCCATCCTTGTCGAGAATATTCACAAGGGCGCGTCAGACGAATTTCAAGGAAGATTCGAACACGCAAATTATGACTGTTAGCGAAATATTATAAAATTCCGCCACGAGTGGTCGAGCGGCAGTGGACCAGCTCGCACTTAGAAGAGCTATGTTGTAACTACGTAAGGGAATAGCATGACTGAAGATGAGGTGGGGCTAGTTTTTGTCTAAGTGCGAGTTAGTCCCGCTTTTAGGAAGCCTTCGGCTACCGGACATTATAGGCTTCAACTACTGGCTTGAGGCTACAGTTGTGAGTCTCTCTGATGTTTCGTGAGATGCGGGACAATGTTGATTATTAACAAAAAGGGAGCATCAGGGTTCTTTTGCATACACTAACATCAAGTGATTTAAAGGCATTCACAAGTTTAATCTCTGGTTTTTAATTCCTTATGTTCGCTGGACGCATCTGAATGGACTAAGTTGAGCCATTTCTCTGATAGCCATTCTACTGGGCTGTTTGCATGTTCCCAAGAGGATGAAGTAATTATCTTACAATAAACCAGGATTACGACATCTAAGGATTATGTGCTCATAAATTTTGAGTCCTTGTCAGTGAATTTGCCTAGTCCAGGACATGAAGAACACCTAGCGAAGTGCAGTGGTTGAGAAAGTTCTGTTCCTCCCAATGGATTATCTTGCTTTAGAATATAAACCAACCGTATTTTTCTTGGAGTAATGTTTTAGCACCGTACAACAATGTTCGAAGTTATTAACAAAACTTTAAACCGATGACGGCGACCACGTATTCAGGAAAAGTACAGCATCAAAGCTACTAGTACGTAAATTTGATTTTGACTTCTTCTCGGATTGTTGAAAGAATTTATCTCCAGATTCAAAGTATTTACAAAGTATTGTATTGGGATAAAACTACTGTCGAAAAAGATGTAAAGTTACACTAAACATGAGTCCGCTTATGGTAACAGCGTGTTTTTCCTTCTGACAAACGTGACTCGCATCTGCGCGTTTTAGCAGATGCCTGTTCACAATGCTGAGCTATGTGGTCAACACAGGACGTTCCTGGAACGTTAATACCCATTTTTGTTATTAGTGTCTCATAACATGGGCTGGTGGAAAAGAACCAGTAATTATGTATTCGTGAAACGGTTTGGAACATTTGTCGGCTATTGTATACAGTATTGCAATGTGTTGACCACATCGCGTCAGCGAGAAGCCGTTCATGAATTCAGCTTCGTTCATCATCGACATCACAGTCTCCAGCGTAGCGGAATTCAAGCTCCGGCTTTTTGACAGAGATACATGTATCATCACTACTCCCCTGTGTGATCATGTGTGCTTCAAGTGACCACACTGGTGGTAAACTTGGCAGAACTCGGCAGAACTAACGAAATGCACTGATAACTCAGATTAATTAGAGCGAACTGAAAATTTAGCGACCGCATTCCAGTGAGCATTAAAAATACTTGTCAGAAAAACGGGCGAAACTCCGAGCGCGAAAGTTCACGCAATCTAGTGAGTATTCTTTGTTGGTCGAAAATGATTATCTCCTATCGACCACGTTATTACATTGCCATGCAGTAAAGGTTTTTTTTCGGCGCATGAGGACCAGATAACTGGGTTTCTTCCCAAAAATGACCAAATATAAGCAGAGTTGTTTTGCCAAGGGGATTGTTTTTATAGGCTTCAACCACGAGAGGTGTTAAGAGGTGTTAGTGAACGCTGGAAAACGTCGTTTAATACTCACCTCTGTGCAAAAGCACTGTAGGTTTTACACGCTTGGACCTACTTGCCTCAGGTGGATTTTGCTGACGGGGCTGTGTGTGTTAAACTGGTGTCAGTGATGCAACAGAAATTTGAGATATTTAGCTGTCCACATTACGTCATTGGTAGGCTAACGGATGAATTTACTCTCCAGTTGTTGACAAACTGCGCTATATCTCTTCACAGCAACTACTCGTTTGAGTAAACGCCTTTTGTGGACGGTTTCGGTCTCATATTTTGTGTCTCAAAGAAAAATTCGTCTTCGCGTGGTGTGTGTACTCCTCAAATTAGATTCATGCATCCATTTTACAATTGCGGCATTGTGACTTCGAAAGTAGACACTTCCCCGATTGGGGACGAACGCGTTTGACCCTTTCCCTTGTCATAGGACACTATGTGAGCAACAGACAGCGTTCATTCCGGCCCCATTATTCTAAAAGTGATTACTTCTGTACACCGCACTACGTCCACAGTAAGACTTTCAATATAAAACGCTGTTGAGGAAGTCAGGTTATTTAAGGCCGTTTCAGATAGTCGGGACAGATGTAATCAAATCAATGGATGAAGATAGAATACGAAAATTCCGAGACTCAATTTGTCCTGCATGACAGCAATATTCCATGATCTGGCCAGGTAACACTGACCGCGATTTACGTTTAAATACTTGTATGAAATACCCTCGCACCCAAAGTTTCGTTTTCCCGATGAACTAGTTTTTGTAGAGTTTGTTACACATATTGCACACAAGCAAGCATCCAACCA